CATTTTCGTCAACGAATAAAAACGAGACGAAAATGTTAGGGAGGGACGATTTGGGATGATATTCATTCAGAACGAATCTGCTGCGTGGTTCGGAGATTAGATGCGTACATATGAACCGGCGGGACATAAGCTAACATACACTTGCTGCACGTCGCATAAAACGTTCAAAAATGTCAATATGTGGGAGTAAGAGAAGAGCAGACATATGGATACATTTGAAAAGCATGACGACACAAAAGAGAACTGAATTCGTCCGGTTTTCTGAGCGCACACACCTGAAGCGCGCACACAGAAAAGCGCCTCTCACACAGCGCACAACTGAATTCAGTTCTCTTTTGCATCGCATGAACGGAGAAATACACACAAAATGATGTTGAATTGTCTGTTTTGACGAGTATTCACATAAACACACTCGGTTACATCTCAAGTTGGGAGAATATCGGAAGTGTATCAGTATAATACACCCGTGCATTCGGTATTTAATGGGACAGAAGCCTAATTTAGTTGCTGCTGTATTTGTGTCTTTAATGTTAATCAAGCAACAAAAGAAAGAGAGAAAATCACTCACTGCTCTTGACTGAATGACTTTAGTAACCCTAATAAGGATTAATCTAAATGTATTTATATAAATAAATATGTCTGCTTGAAAGAATGAAGAATGTGGTAAGTTGTTATAAAGAATGAATATGATAACCATTGGTATTTCACTGAAAGGAGGACCATATTCTTGTTTCTTTATGAGAAGTGGTTTTAATTAATTTTAATATAAAGGCATGTTGTGTCAAAACAGTTAAATCTGTGTCTATATTGCATGATAAAACCTTAATATCAAACCTATATAATGAGTTTGGAAATTTTAGAGAAATGCTTAATAAATAAATGCGTTACACTAACTAAACCCATTAGATTCTTAGAATCTTATGACAATTAGTCGACTAAAGCTAAAACAATTCAGATGACTAAAATATGACTAAAACTAAAAACTGCCATTTTAGTCAAAAGCATATGACTAAGACTAAATAACAATTTGCAAAATTAACACTGGTTCAAAGCAAGAGTCACATTTGTGACCTAATGTATATGAGTTTATATTTTAAATCAGTGTATTTTTGTGCCTCTCTATGCAATATTTCATAAACTATAAATAACTATATATTGAATATAATTCAGACCAAGGGTAAATCAATTGTGCAGTTACATTAAGTTTGCTTGAAACTGCATGAATTCTGACATGAGATGTGATGTCATGTGCAAAAATGTGATGCGTATCTGATTTAATTCTGAGTATGGAAGTGTCAGATTCAATGCCAGGTTTCTTATTCAAACACTAATATGTGCTATGCATGAGAGAAGATTTGGGCCACATTCATCTGTGTTTCCACAAGACGAACTGAACTATAGAAAAGATTGAGCATGAAATCTTTCCCTGAACCCTGAAAACTGAAGACAAAAAGCATTAAATCTGTCCTTCCATCTACTTTCTGGCCTCTCTGAGTGCCTTGTTGCCCGTGGAGGTGGGTGCGTAGTGCAGTAAGAGAGTGATGGCTGCAGTTTTCCTTCCCTACAGAGAGAGAGAATATAGCAGTCACAGAGACAGTCTTCACCCCACTGCTCTGGCCTAGTATAATAGCCAGCTAGATCTCCCCCAACTGCAGATGGAGAGTTCAGCTGTACGGGTTCTTTTACACTTTAAACTATTAAACATAAAGGTTACATAAAGGGTTTTACAGTCTGATGCAATAGAAGAACCTTTTAAGCTCCAAAGACAATGTTTGTAGCTTGCAAGTGATGCTTTTACCCAGAACATCCCAGCAAACATCCAGAACACCCAGAAACCACCTAGCAATTGCTCAAGTATATCAGTTATTATTGATTCAAGAACCTTTGCTAAACCTAATCTGCTGTAAAGAACAATTGAAGAATCTTTATTTTGGAGTGTAATTTCAGTATGGTATGTTTGCTTTATTTCTAAAGGAATGAATTGATGGTCACAGTGTTTATGTCGCACACGTCCTGAAAAGTGAAGCTGCCGGCTCTTTGATCGCCCCCTGGTGGCTGGCTGCAGTACAGGTCATAAACCCCGCCTTCTCCATGTAAATGAATGGGACTTGAGTCAAAGGTTTTGGTCATTTAAGGTAGTTATTATCGCGCTGATATATGTTAAATTGTTCATTTTTGTGATAAGTTTGATTTTAGCTAGTAATTTGATGCTATAAAAACGGGGCGTGTCGTTATGGTTGATTGGGTCTGCGTGAGTTTGATACCGCGGCTCCACCTCACGACACTGCTGTGCAGACTCTGGCTCCAAACGAATCTCTACTGCGCAGACTCGGGCTCCAAATGACGTCATTTACTCAAGATGGCAGCGGCCATACTGAGATGCTTTGGCTTCACTTTTCTATAGTGGAAGGAATAGGAGACGCGTCGTCCATCTTTTTTTACAGTCTATGGTTTATGCATGCAAATTTCATGTGGACTGCAACATGCAACCTAGAACACATGTTGATTTAATTGTGGTGATTTATGTGGTTGAAAGTCGATTGATTAAATGTCTGGTTAAAGATGCAGCTGTTGATAATCTGGAGGTCTTAGAGCATAGACTACATCAGGAGTGTAGAGTTTGTGCATACGTGTGTTTGAAACGGGTCTTTGCTGTACTTTAGGATTATAATCTCTCCGTTTTCAGATGACAGCACTGTTAGACAGACCTAAGCTTGATGAGGATTACAGAATTTTCAGTTTTGATGGAAACTGTGTACAAATTCCCAGCAGAAGAATGGTTTGTTTTAGTGATATACTGCTATTTTGATCAACCGGTCATTATTTAGACATGAATGATGAATTTGCTTTAATACATTGATTAAAGGGGTCATATGATGCGATTTCAATTTTTCTTTTCTCTTTGAAGTGTTACAAGCTCTTGGTGCATAAAGAAGATCTGTAAAGTTGCAAAGACTAAAGTCTCAAATCCAAAGAGATATTCTTTATAAAAGTTAAGAGTCAGCCACGCCTACCTAAAACGCCTCGTTCTAACACGCCCCCACATATCTACCTCACTATGTGGGAAGATTTGCATAACGCCGCCCAAATGTTCACGCAAAGATAGAAGGCGTAACTTTTATTCTCACTGTAGTATTGTTGTTTCCGCCGCCATGTCGTAAAAACGCTGTGTGCTTCATTGTAAAAGCGAAACTACTTTGTTTGGTCTCCCAAAAGAGGAC